TTTCATAATTGGTGGACAATGTTGTCCATGAAGGATTGATACAGGAGACAGGATGTTGGGGGGGAACGAGAAGAGGAGGAGTAAATTCTACTATGAATTAATGCTCAGACAAAAGTACCTGCTAGTGGAGTTCCATTAGCTGCCAGTACCATTTGTTCTGCAATGGATTTGGTTCTGGAATAATGATCAACGTGCTATGGAGAAAAAGCAAATACATTTTTATCTGTTCTTGGAACGACAGAGCAGAGGGCATCTCTTCTCCATTAGCTTTTACTTAGCAAATGGCAACAAATACCTCAAAATTACAGAAGCCCTGGGGTATTAGGTTTAGGGTAAAACACATGCACATTGTAAGGAGGCATTTTTGTTTATGCAAATCTGGTTAATTAATTTCAGCACATTTGAGAAGCAATAAATATGTGTATACTTTGAATGCTGCCAGGAATGTAATTGATCACTACTTTGTAATCTGGATTTCTTCTTCAGGTAATGGAAAAGTCAAAAGCCAAATTTTGAAGACATTACCTCTGAAGTATCCTGTTCACTTTCGTGTGGCACTGTCCCAGAGAAAAGATTTGAAATGTTATTAAAAATATGAATCAGTATTTTCTCTCCATCTCTACTTCTTGAAAGACTGTGAAGTATTAGATGGAGAGAGGAGGGACACAAAAAACAACTGTGTAGGCAAAGCACCCAGAAGTACTTTCTCCTTTTTAATTAAATGCAATAAAACCACATAAAAATAGGCTGCTTTTCCAGATCAGCTCTACATTGAATATATGTCATCTTCAGTAAGGGAGAAACAGAAAAATCATGTAGATAATAAATAGTGAGAGAGGCACCAAGCCATAGAACACAGTCCTTATGTCCAGGTGGAATTTCCTTGATGTTAATGGGACACTGTATGAGATATTTGCCAAAATCAAGGCCTTAATAGGAAACAAAGAAATATATACTGCAATGTACATAAAACTGATGTGTCAAGGCTGTGAATAGCATCTACAAAAAGTAGTTTTCTTTCTCTTTCACTGAATCACAGAATGGTTTGGGTTGGAAGGGACCTCAGGGATCACCTCATTCCAACCCCCTTGCCACGGGCAGGGACACCTTCCACTAGATCAAGTTGCTCAAACTCTCATCCAACCTGGCCTTTCTTGTGCCTGGATTTTGGCATCAGGTAAAACATTGTCATGGAAGCTCCAGGCTTTTCCAGAAACAAGAAAATAAATGAAGAGGAAACTTGAAAATATGTACAAACAAAATACCTTGTCAAGTGGAAAATATGGCACAGATTCCTCATCCCCATCTTCGATGGGAAGCCCTCCAAACACCACATTCACTGTACTGGTGTAGATCAGCCGAGAGATGTTGTTTTCTTTGCAAGCTGCAGGAATGTACAAAGTAAATTACTTTATGGAAAATGAAACAACGTGGAAAAAAAAAGTTTGTATGACCTTATTCTGAGAAACTGTCAAATCTTAAAAGGGAAAATCCTTCCATTCTATGATTGGTGAGTTGAAATGCAAAGCATATTTAAAGGGAAGGCATCAGTGTGGAACCAAGTGCTTCACTCTGTGGCACATCCCAGTCTGACACATCACACCCTGTCATAGAATGGAGCATAAAAAGCAATGACATGTTTCCTCATTTTCTGCCAACAATGTAAAGCATTTGCTAACAAATAGTGTGTGCCAAAAACACCAGCTGGCTTTCTTTAAATGGTATATGATATTTGATGTGCTCTACTAACACCCAATGGCACAGTTAGATACGTACCATCAATGATGTATTTTGTTCCATTGATGTTTATACTTTCAATCTGTTCTTTCTGCCACTAGGAAAAGAAAGAAATTGTGCATTTTTGAATACATAGCAAATTCAATATGAGGATGTTATAATGTCCTCAAATAAAGGTAATTAATTTAGTGCTTTGATTATAAAAAAGATCTTTTAGACTGTTGTTTCTGACTTCAAGTAGTCAAATCATTATTTTTAAGCTATGCCTGTATTTTCCTTGTATTTTTGCAGACTAGTCTGCTTGAAGTAAAGAGAATCACAGTGCTTCCAAGAAACATGTCCTGGTATTAGTATGTTAAATATCTGTGTTTCATTAGCACTTCAGTGATGAGTGGCCTCTGCCCAGAGCAATTCCCATTATGCATTGCTCAGTGGCAAATAGCTCTGAGTGAGCTGTTCTATCCAAACAGGGTAATTCCTTTTATTAAATAAGGTAAGAAAGGGGTGTGTGTGTAACTCTAACCATAAAAATTGTGACTCAGAGTACATCCTTACAGCTTTTTGCCTTGACTTCAAATACAGTGGTCCTTATAAATTAGATATATAAAATAATTTACAATTTAGTGCAGTTTTTATTCTTCGCAGTGACCTTACACCTAGGAGTTCCTTGGGAAGGTTTAGGGAAGGATCAGGGGTTTGGAGAAAACCAGCCTCTATTGTCTTTCCTTTTGTCTTTATGCTGTTTCAGAACTCTTCAATGCCATTTCCATCTCAAACACCCTCCCAGGGCGCTGGTGGAGCCTCTGATGGAGAGGAAATCATTCTGCAAGCAGCCTTCTTGCAGGGGGCACTCCAGTTTACACAGAGCAATCTACTATGGTAGATAAAATCTACCATGCTGTGCTACAGCATCAAGTCTTATTCTCATCGTGGGCAGTCACACAGAAAAAAACAGAACTGTTTGGACTCACTTGCTCTTTTCCTGACATTCCATATGAAGCTATATGAAACACAACGTCAGCCTTTTCACAGGCTGCACGTATGGCATAGTAATTCCTGAGGTCTGCCTGTAATACATAAGAAAACATATTTGGACTTGAAATCAAAGCTGCAGGTGAGCATTTGTCATACAGTGGGTTAGCACAAAGGGAATCCATATATATAATGCATGTTTAGAATTGTACTGGCTGTACATCCTGGGCCTGAAAACTGGGCCCACCCCAGTGCTTGTTGATAATCATACCTTTCTTTCACAGAACCCAAAGGGCTTTAAAGACATTCATTAAGCTTCATAATACTCCTGTGTTTTTTCTACAGGTGATTAAACTAAGGCACAGGTGAGGGCAGGGTCCTGAGGAGGCAGGAGCAGAACTGCTCTGTGCTCCATGTTACAGGTTTCACTGTTTTCCTTATTTCAGATATACTAAAATCCCTTCACCAGAAGTCCTGTGGGATGTTCACACTGTCAAAAAGGTTATTGGAATTTGAAATAATTTGCAATTAGCTATTTGGATTCTCTGAAAACTAGTAAAATGTTATGGAATAGGCAAATGAACTAATTTTGACTGCTGGGAAAATACAATTTATCATACCTGAATACACTCCACTCCACTGGGAATTTCCCAAATAGGCATGTGCATGTCATAGAGAACAACAGAAGCTCCTTTGCTGGCAAGAGCACATCCCAGCTTGTATCCAAAATAGCCGCCACCTCCTGTCACCACAGCTCTCATACTGGTTTTATTCAGTGCTGCAGCATTTCCATTCCATTTGGAGTTTTACAAACATTTCAAATGTCTGTATACTATACTAGAGATAGCATCCTGAAAATAAATAACAAAGGTTGCATGTTTTGGGCTAAGTCTCAGTTTGCAAATGGCATCCAGAATAATAAAAGAAAAACCAAACAAAAAAATATTTTTGCCTAACACAGAGAATGTGAATTCAAATGTTTTCCACAAATGGGTCAAAATTAGAATAATGGTACAGACCCTAATTTTTTATTAGTAGAAGAGAAATCACTGGCTGTGTGAAACAGCCTGGGCTCAGTTTTGTTCATCCTGGTCTGCATCACAACTCAGAGATGGCTGTAGGGACCAGATGTGCTATAGGGATCATACATGAATTCAAACTTGTGAACTGTCAGGAAAACTCTAAAGGTGAACAAATTGCATTTCAGTTTCTGTGCTTAAAACCAAGCAAGCAGGACCAGGCAGAACAGCAGCCAAATACAATGTCCCCTAGAGCAAAAGAAACCTTCCATGTTTCTTCTACTCATCCCCAGTTTATCACAAAGACAGACGTCTGAGGGAAGTGGTATTTCCAGCTCCTTTCTAGGTAGGAGCAGTTGAGCATAAATTAAGAATACACCGTGTAGTTACCACTAGCAGTGATGGAGCTGAGAGAGATGAGTGTTTCAGGAGAGAAGAGGAACGCCTGATCCTTACTTTATAATTTTAGAAGGTGTATCAGAGAACAAGGCTATCAAATCCCTCGCTTTTGAGGGGAACTTGAATAAAATAGCTGCTCTGAAAGAAGAGTCAACGAGTGCACTAAGATAAAGTAACAGTGAATCACTTATTTCCCGAGCATGGAGGTTCTTGCCCATCTATGGGTTCGTCACTGCCAGTCGGGGCATTTCAGAGGCTGTGGCTGCCGACTCCCCCCGTCACCCACATCCCTGCCCTGGCCTCGATTAAACATTCAAAGCCACCCGGGCCCCGCCGGGACTCTCTGCATCTCACTTGCAAATGGCCCGGGGCCGCAGCGCTGCTCCGAGGGTCGGCGGCCCCGCGCCCTCAGCGCGGCCTCGGGCCGGGGCCGTTGGGGCCGTTGCTGCCCCAGGAGCCCTCACTGGTGCCGGGGGAGCCCCCGCCGCTCCCGCTGGTGTCCGGCCCGGGACCACCCCCGCCGGCCCCACGCACCGCCCGGAGCGACCCCCGGGGGGGCCCGACCCACGGCCCGACCGCCTCCGGGCTCCTCAGGGTCCCTCTGGCATCCCACCGCACCCCCGGGCTCCCAAAGGCCCCCTGGGGTCCCACCACACCCCTGGGCCCCGCTCACCTGGCAGCGTCTTTGGGATCACACAACCTCCCTGAGATTCTGCTCATCCCACAGCACCCCTGGGATTCTGCTCATCCCACAGCACCCTGGGGTGGCTCTTACCTCCGAGTGTCTTCACTCGCATCCTGTCGGTAGTGACGGCTCCGTCCACACTGAGACACTTACTTGTTGAACGGGTTATTGAGGAAAAAAAAGAGCACCTCCTACTTACCAATTGGACAGTTGGTGGCAGGACATGGCTCAGAGAGGTGCAGACCATCAAAGACACCTGTGAAACAGCAGGAATTCCCAAGGAGGAGGGTATAATCATAAACAAATAGGCACTGACTAAGGGCCCTGACCACCTGAGCTGGCAGTGGGTTCCTGTGGTCATTCGAGCCTGGGAGGATGGGAAATGGGTCGGGAGCTACAGAATTTGAGTTACCCATTCCAGGCAAAAATTAAGCTTTGAACACGTTTACCTCTTCTGTTACAGCTGTGCTGTGTCTAAACATTCATATTAAATTTTAATCATTTAAAGACACACTGCAGTTTTGTTAGAGCAGGAGTAACTCAAATAAGAGCCAGCACACGTAGCTCAGGCAGTACAATCCACCCAATAAGCAACAAATGTAAGTCTTAAGAAGGGGGAAAAGAGAGAGGTTGGATTCTCCCTCATGTCTTGGTGCTTGGTTTGCCTGCTCACCCCCAAATGGCAATTCCCTGAAGGCACAGCGTGTGCCAGCGCTGGTACAGGGTTGCGGATAACATGACTCCAGCAGGAACACCTTGCTGAACTCCAAGATCTTAAGTATCCTTCCTCCCCCTTCCCAGAAGCTCTTTAAAAACAGTATTTGGTTCATTTATTATTTATTATTGCTTTGAATGTACATTATTTGATTTACAAACACACATAATATTATTTATTACATTTTTACAAAGCTTTTGAACAATAAAATTATTTTTATATAAATACAATTTTCAGTCCTCTCACCACCTGTTATTTATAAATATTTGCTTTCCATATTTTTGTCCTATTTCCCAGGTCTCCATAATTCCTCAGACTTACAGACAGTAGCTGTAGCAGCAGCTTCATCAGAGGAGTTGTTTAGTCACTCTTTTCTTCACCAGAGCTGCTGGACTTGTGGCAGCACTGCAGTCCTACGATGGTTCCTCTTCTTCCAGCTTCTCACCCTCCTGAGTTATCATTTTTAGAAAATCCCTCTCAGTATGAAGCAATCAATTAATGAAGATCCATTAACAGTATTCCTGCACCTGTTAGTGGTGAACGCCTTTGATTTGTGACACTGTTGTTCCTGGGGAACATTTCCTGATGTGTCCTATGTTTTCACTTTTGTGATTGTTTTTTGTTTGCTGTTTGTTTTTTTTCTTTCTTAAGGAGGTCAGAGAGGTGTCATCATAGTAATAACAATAACAAAGTCCATGGTGGCTGAGGAATGTACCGTGACCAGATCATCAATACTCAGAAATAAAACGAGGTTTTCTGGAACAGGTGGGGAGTTACTTGATTTTAGAAGAAAGAAAGAATGATCAAACTTAACATAATGCCAAAAACAAACACCATTTTAAGATATGTGTGATCTTCTTGGCAAGTAGGTCTTGTTTTGAGATAATGATCCACAGAATCAGCGAATGAGAATTTCTTTGGTTTGTAACCAAGTTGATTTCGTGCCTTGTCTATTCGGAACGTGTGAGTTACAGTAACGTTCCACACCTGAAACCCAAAAGGACAGTTATGGAATGACTTTAATATTGGATTTTCTACAACTTGGATGAAAATACATCGACAATGATATTACAATGGAAACAGAACAGCAAACAGAACTCTACTGCAGAGAATCCTGTCTGCATCCAAAGGGCATATCAAGGACTTCATGAGAGTTTTGGTCAGAAATATTTAAACATTCTTTCTTTTTATATATATTTACCTCATTCCTTGTCAAGAAAGGTGTAAAGCTAAAAACTGGTTTTAGTATCAGGTGCAGATATTCCATCACAGTGGCTGTGAAACACAAGGTTACTTAATGAGACAGACAGCTGGATAACAATAAACTGAGACAATGCTGACATTGCATATCCTGTAATTCCTACTGATATCAGAGGATGCAATTAGGGTGGTAGAAGGCAGGGTTTAACTTATAAAGTACATGATGGACTCGGTTTATGAATAGCCTTTAAAATTTATCTAGTAATTAGTGCCAAATGGCACAAGGGATTATTATTTATTGGAATAATATTAAGTTACATAATTCCTACAGTTTGAGTCCCATCATTTTATAAAACCACTATGGAGCTTTCTAGGAATAAAAAAAAAAATACAGCCCACAGTAATTAAGAATGTATTTTATTTCTTTTACCTGCTATATGAACCAGGAGAACAGGAATATGGATCCAGGGTTTCCTGTAGCCTAATTTTTCAAACTAGAAAGGGTATAAAAGGAAAGAATAAGGGAGAGCTTGTACCAAATTGAGCGTGTCATGAAGCATGAAAATGGAAGGGAAAAAAAGGAATGTTGATAAAACATGTATCTAAAATTTTTTCCAGCTAGTCTTCCTATCAATACTGGTAGTAAGAAATGCAATTGAAACCCACTACTCACTCTTTGGTGCCCACCTCCCACCCTTCAACTGCAATTGGATAGTAAAGGGGGAAGTGACCCGGGCTGGAATCCTTCCCTGCAGTTAAATACAGGCCCATTGTTCTACTGCAGTCATTTTCCCAGAGGAATTCTCTGTGTTGGCGTTGCAAGATTAAAACTTTGGCATGCTCCTGATATCCCAGCTTGGTGGTTATGAAAATATAATGTTGCCTCTTTTTAGCTTCTAAGATAAGATTCTGAATGGGCTTCCCTTCTGTGCTGCAGTTGATGGGGGGATAGAGATCAGCAATGGCTCTGAGAAAGCTGCCAGATGCCCATGGCAGAGCTCACCCTGCACTGTGAGTTTGCTCCACAGAAATGCTGCTGCAGTAGGTTCTGTACCTCTTGGCTAAATTATCTCAAAACAGTAAGGCCAAATTCCACAGTTATGCATAGCCAAAACTTCCCTGAAAGCCAGTGGAACTTTGGGACACGCAGGGAGAACAGGACTGAGTTTGATGTTAAATCATTCAGTAATTAACCTGCCCTGCTCTTCATTTAGTTTGTATGGTTTTTAGCCAGCGGTAGGGCCAGAGCCTGTGAGGTGCCTCTGAGCTGAAAACGTACCAAGGGCACGATCCACTCAGAGAAAATCACATTTTCACCATCGTGGATGTAATATGCCTGACCACTCTGTTAAAGAAGCAGAGAAAAACAGTTAGAAAAACACTATACATAGGATGGCATTCCTTTCTCTCTCATACCTACCCATGTCTTGATTTTGTGAGTGACACAAACACAGTGAATGTACACACAGCAGCTCAGCAAACTGCCTGCACTGCACTTCACTGTGCTCTCAAACGCAGTTTTGGGTAACCCCATGTATGATGGTGAATATATTATGGTAGTTAAAAATACTGTTTCCTCCAATAAACCAGGAAATTATATATTTTCAAAGCAGAAAAAAACATGAGCCAAATGTATTTGCATTTGCACTGTCCACGTGTTTCTGGAGCCACACACCATTTTTGAGAATTTAGCATGTGACTTTTTGGAGACACTTTGACCTCAAAATATCAAAAATTAAACCTATTTGAGAGCTAAAGCTACTGGAACACAATTATATTGTTTACTTACAGCTACATAACCCTTCTCAGAGGTGAGAGCTTCAGCAGCCAGTAAGTGAGCTTGTACTAGATTTCCTATATGAACCCAGTTCATCTGAACTTCGTGATTCCCAAACTTGAAGTTAAAAAGTCTCCGCTGGATGTTTATCTGTAGAAACAGAAAACATGTGATAACTATGTTATTCCTTTATTATGCAGTACAACATTCATTTTATCTCAGCCCAAATACTCAGAGTTTGCTGTATTTGTGTACAATTACAGCACAAGAAATGTGTCACAAGGAAAAAAAAAAACTAGTTGGTGGTTTCATGAATCAAAGACTGTTGCACTGATAGGCAGTGGCAAAATATGATGACATTAGAGTGTTTAGCAGGAACTAAAGTGCATATATAGAAGTCAACATTTCCATTAAACGATCAGGGATGCAAACCTACTTCTTCCACCACGGCATTTCAGCCTTGCATTTTTTAATTTTCACTGCAAGAGGATCCTGGCCGTGTCTGCAGTGCTCAGTTTGTGCTGTTTGTTACCCTGTCACCCAGCTTTCACAACAGCCTTCCTGGAGCAATGGTTAAGAACTGCAATCAAGGTACTTCCACTTGTGTTATGCCCTTACAACTACTTGTGGTGTCCTCCAGAGCTGACTACAAAACACATACGGCTACTCGTGGCAGGTGCCGCTGCTCTTCGGGTCCGTAGATGCCCGGGGGGCGAAGCACACACGTGTGGAGCTTGTCCCCTCCTGGGAGAGAGAACAACAGGGGACCTTCAGACAGCTGGGATATCAACATATGGCTGACATATATTGTCTGAATCTTACACTGTCAAAATAAAGGCTCAGTCTGACCATTCTGTGTGATTCGGCTTCCTGGGAACTTGATTTCATTTCCCTATAGAACTCAATTCAGTAGCTGTGAAAGGCCTGAGCTTGGGAGCCTGAAAAGCCAAATCCCACAGAAGAGTTTCATCAGGAACAGGCCAAATCAAGCTTTCCTCCTGGTTGTTTGGGTTTTGCTCAGAGATAAGTTTACACCTTAATATTTGTCCATCCCTGCAGACACATGCAACACTGGGAGCAGATCATTCTGTTTGCTACATCCAGACACCTGGCTTGCCTGCAGCTCAGGGGCACCACAAAGGAATAGAAGAGGTCTCCTAAACAGAGGCTTTCAGATGAGTTTGAATATTTTAAATCAGAATGAATAAGTTTGACCTGTGAATCACTCAGCAGACCCCTCTGACCCCTGAGAACAGGCACAATGACACCTTTTATCTGGCCAAGAGTAACAGGGGGTAGGCATTTGCTCAGGAGTTAATCAAGGATGCTAAAATTGAATCCCCATCTAATTTATGTTTGCCAACTTTACAGTTAAGACAAATCAACAGGAATAGCAAAATATGTATCTAAAAATTTCCCTTGCCATGTACAGACAGATTTTTAGCCACAACTATTACTGCAGGTGCAACTTTGGAAGTCACCTGATATTGCAAATCTGTTAAAGAAACTGCTGCTATTCCTGCCAGATACTTGCAACAAAATAAATCCTCACTTCAGTTAAAATCCTCTACTTATTGATAAATGAGAAAGCAAAACCCATTAGCAGTACTTAGGAGAGGAAAACCCCAAATGCTTTATACCTACCTTTGAGTAAAGTTCCATTAGCAGCAAGAACCATTTGGTCTGCAATTGCCTTGGTTCTAGAATAATGATTAAATTGCTATAAAGAAAGGCAGAATACAGTCATTTAAATCACATTATTGCATCTATAAAGGCAAACTTACTGTTTTTGACTGATAGCATTTCAATCTAGCCAGCTCCTAGATATCAGCTGAGCAAAACACAACTAGAAATAACAACAAGATTTAGCAAATATATACTTTTCTATGACGAAAAACTTAGAGGCACAAATTTAGCTTCAGAGTGAATTTAAGTACACTAGTATTTACTTAACTCACTTTTTGTGCTGGATGTACAGAAAAAATTACTCCCAAGCCAAATGTTCTGGTGGGACAGATATTTTTTCAAATTATCCTTTTCAAATTGAAAAAAGTTTTATAAAAATGGTAAGTTAAATATGAAGTTAAAAAATCAGACTTTCCAAAAAACACTTCCATTTCTTATTGAAGTTATTTGGGAAGTTATAAATCATTCTTTCCCAAATAGTATCTTTCAGTGTGAACTTTAAAAATTGCACCCAAGTGTATTTAAACAATAGGACTCTGGACACAGTTGGCACATGCTGGTTTAGCGATTACCTGTCCACACAAGACTAGTTATCTGTTGAATTTTGTATGGCCAGACTTTATATTGGAAAATATATCATGGAAAGTTCCAAAAGCTATTACGAATTGATTATTTCTTCATTGATCATGGGTCAACTTACACTAATGAAAAATAATTTAATGGAATTTGATGTGATCTACAGTAAAACAGCTTCTTCCCTCAGAGCAGCCTTCACACAATGTGCCCTTTCAAGCACAGTAAATCCACACCATCACATGAACAACGGACCTTTTCCAGTGGAAAATACGGCACAGTTTCTTCATCTCCTTCTTCAATAGGATTCCCTCCAAACACCACATTCACTGTGCTGGTGTAGATCAGTCTGGGGATATTTCTTTGTTTGCAGACTACAATGATAGACAGAAGAAATTATTTTAAAACAAAAATGAAGAGTGAGAAATAACACATGAACTGTCAGCTTCTCTTTTTGAAAGCAAATATCACGCTTACAGCAAAAAAAAGAATATTTTAATTTTAACATTATCATTTAATATAGCATTGTCTTTCATCCAGCTGGAATTTTTCTTCCCAAATATCTGCTACGCAAATATTACATGTGGTGGTCACCAGATGTTTTATGATTAGGTAACTAATCATATCACCACTGGATTGCAGTCACCAACTGGATAGAGGAATCTTTGCAGGGGAAAAATTCCTCCTTCAGAAACATTTCTTAAAACATGTTCACTTTACAAATGGAATAAAAAGGACATGAGTAAGTGCATTTGTGGTGGTATAGCACTGCCAGTGTATAATCAGTAGTGCTTTTAAAGCAAATGAAATTAATGTTATTTACAAAACAAAGCCTTAATTATAGATTCCAGTCGTGTTATTATAGCTAAATTCTGCTGCATATATGTCATTGCAAACTTGAATAACATAAATTTCCTCTTCATTTAACAATATTTCTAAAGTTTAAGTGAATTAATATTCAAAGTCAGGAATTTTTAGAATTTGCAGAGCTGTCTGTCCAGCTGGGTCATTGGCTCCTTTTGAAAATAATGAATAAAATTATTGTTTTGTAAATATTTGGAACCAAACACAATACTAACATCTATTATTTAAATGTAGATGAACAGGTTCATGCTTCTCCCAGACTCTTGCTTTGCTGGGAGCCTATGGAAATTTGCCATGACATGTTTCTGTGAGTCTGGAGGTTGGGGTAGGAAAAAGGGAATATGTGGGAACCTCTTCCCTCTAACTCATGTAGAATTTTACTTGCCTACTATTCCATTTTGCTTTTTTTTTCAGTAATAACACACAGGCAGCATGAAACTTGGTCTAAATAAAAACTTGTTTTGCCATTTTGCTTTTTGATTATTTTTTTTGGCCATTTGGTTTTTGAGGGGAAAACAAGGAGAAAGTAGCTTTGGTATTTACAATACACTTAGGTTTGAATCAGATGCAAAGAAAGAAAAGTGAGGTACCTACCATCAATTATTATTTTTGTGCCTCCAACATTTATGGATTCAATCTGATCTTTCTTTTGAAGCTGGAAATAGAGTTTGCACAAGATTTGATTCATGGAACAAGTCACATTCACAATATGATTGCTACAATTGCCAGATGTAGAACAGTTGAGGCCTTTTTGTGATGTGTTACAGTTCTCTGTCTGTCTGACAGTTCTCATTCTGCTAGTCTTGTTCAGTTGAAAAATGAAAGATAAAATGCATCTAAAATGAAATTATAATGCTTCAACATTTTGCCACCTCCTCAGACAATCCATGATACAGAAACAAAAATTAAAGGTGGGGGTTATGCTCCCTGAAAGCTTCCACAAAGTCTTGTTCCAGTGCAATCTGTCTTGTTTCTAGAAATAAATGAGTAGTTTCATGACTTTTTTGATAACATAAAAAAAAAAAGGATAAGCCTTCTTCTCCAAGATCTTAAAACTATGATCTCATTTTTCTAGAATATTTTGTAGTACATTAGGTTTATGCTTTTACATTTATTATTTAAGGAATATCTCCCTTGTTGCCTGTATGGATGACTTGACCTTTCTAACCAACTTCTGTTTGACATAAATATCATAGAATTACATTCCTTGCTACATGCAGACAATTTGTTCTTTCTCAAAAATAACAACAGAAAACATTGGGGAAAATGGTACTTGCTTGTTCTAATCCTGACATTCCACATGCAGCCACGTGAAAAACACAGTCAACCCCTTCACATGCCTTGAACACTGCATCATAATCCCTCACATCACCCTGGAAAATTAGAGAAGAATGAGTTTTTGACAGGAAGAGCTGCTCACATTCTCTATAGAATTATGGCTGTTAATGAAAATCTAAAGATATTTAGATCTATTTTTCACAGTACTTAACTGGCATTAAAAAAACATTATAAACAGGGTGAAAAATCCGTGACTAAGAATTTTGTCAGTGTTTTGTTGCAAAGCGAACACGACTCTTGTTGGCTTCGATTATAATGCGTATTTTCACCCTGAGTCCTGCAGCCTGGCAGAACTTGTCTGACTTGAATGGGAGCAGCACATGCTCCAGTGCTGGAGAATGAAGCCCCAGGGACAATAAACCACAGCAGGAAGGATTCAGCTGTTTGCCAGGGAATCACCAAATAAGAGAACCCCTTTTTTATCACCCTGGGATGGGATTTGTGCCATCTTCACAAATGTCTTTGTCCATCTAAGGTTTATTTTAGGTGCACTGTATGATAACTTTAATTACAGCTTTGTACAAGATTTTAAAAAGCAGTACACCCTATATGCATTGAATATTTAATTAGTGTACAGTAGTGTATTGTATTCACACTTATGAAATTCTATATATCACTGAACCCTCACTGTATCCAATATCAAATACTATGCTGGGGTTAGAACACTATATTGCATTTTTGTATACCAGGTAATACTATATTAATAGTACTCCACATATATACAGATATCAATAAAAATATTATACTTTTATTTTCAGAATTACAATATTTCAAAATATTAGATGTTAGTTACTTTACTGTAATGAACTTGATAGAATAATTTCCAAAGAAACAGCTGGAGGTAATATTAAGAGCTAATCTAACAGTTTTTAACTCTCAACTTTTTTCTTCTGAGGTTGGCAAAGTGTTTCACAAATATGGCTGACTTACACATCCCACCCTTTAGCCAGTGCTAAAGTAGCTAATGAGGATAAACAATATTAGCAATCCCCAAAACACTAACACTGATCAAGGCTCAGATCTCTGAAGTGACTTATTACTTTATTTACTAGGACTCCATAGTTCCATTTTCCAGGTAACTCACCTATATTTTGTAATATTTATTTTTTTTTAAATTGAATTACAAAAAAAACCTATTGTAGAAGATCATTTGTGAGATCTTGAGCCTCCTTTAGAAGACGTAAATTGCCATCACTCCACCAATTTGAATTGTTAAGAATCAAAACCTCATAAATGAATGTGCTGGGAAAAGCATGAACAGAGCAAGGATATGTGACACTTTCCCCCTGAATACTCTTCTAGTCTCTAAGTATTTTCATTCAGAAGATTTCTTGAGCCTAATTGAGCTTACCTATTTAGTCATCTCCAAAGGAAGTAAATTTTTGGTGAGGCTTTGCACGTGCCTTTTACCCACTGCACGAAAAACAACGTCACTTTGTACTGAACTGACTCCTCATTTCCCCTGGTGGCCTTTCCTTCCTGTTCCAGGGAGGACAGTGAGCAGTCAACCCCTGTCCATGTCAATGCCACTTGCTTTGTAGAGCTCTCCTGCTCTCAAGTCACCTCTTTCCCAGACTGGAAATCCTGGTTTCCTCAATCATTCTCTGCACAGCAGTCATTCTGCATTTGTGAGCACTTTTATTGCCTTGTCCTGCTCTCACCTTTTCCTTGAAATAATTCCCTGAGCGGTAAATTTGTCACTTCATTGTTTCAGGGGGGTGAGCTACGAGTGTAGGGGGCACCTCCCTCACAGGACTGCAGAAGGTCACTGGGGACACAGACACTCCACTGGACTCTGTTTGCCACCTCTTCATCAGTTACTTATGCATGTGAGGACCTTCTACCACGACTTCTTGTCCTCAAAGGCTTTTCAGTAAATGTTTTTTAAATCCTTAAGAGGAAGCCTTATTGTGCATAAAAGCAGTATAACGTTATTTCACTGCTGTTAAAGATGCGATTTCAACGTACCTCGAAAAAATCCGCTCCGTTCGGGATCTCCCACTTAGGTTTCCGTACATCAAACAGAACGACAGCAACTCCTGACCTAACCAGGGCACATCCCAGATTGTATCCCAGGTAGCCTCCGCCTCCTGTCACCATTGTCCTTGTGCTCCTGTTCCCCAGCAGCCCAGCAGGCTCCTTCCCTTGGCTCTCACATTCCTGGCTGCTGGGGAGCTCCTCTGGGGATCCTTCTGGCATCACGACTGCAACAGAGAAGATCTCTTGGAAATTCCTGCACAACACTCTGAGATGTGGGTAATTTCAGTGACTTTCACGTTACAATGCTCCTTTTGGGACTATTCTATTTTTATTATCTTAATATGTTTAAAATGTATACAGTAATAATTTTGGTGATGGGCTTTCTATGTACAATGAGTAACGAGTCTGAATACTTTTATATTCCAAGATACAGTTTTTTCCTCATATCCAGAAGTTTCATATTATATAGAAATAAAGAGACTTTAGAGCCATTATAATTACCTAACCTTAACAGGTATGATTATATTTTCAAAAGCTTGGTTTAATCAAACATTTTATTCTTGAAGACTCACTGATTTGCAATATATTAATGCCAAGTAGATGTCACCCTACCAGTCAGGAAAATAAACCAACACATTAGATAAGGAATATAAGAAAGGATGCATTCTACTTTTAAAATTCACTTTATTTCACATTTGGGTCACGGTTCTTCAGCAATGATAAAAATGTTTCTATTTTAAGCTTCTCTGGTTACACACTAAATACATTTAGTTTTCTGTCCAGTTCTCACTAACTTGTCCATATTGTTCTCATTAGGGCATTTATCTGCAGCTATATAGTGTAAAAAATAAGTGTAAAATGCAAGCTCCTTATGTTGAAAAATATCCTGACAGTTCAAAAATAAAAAAGAATCCATGTTTCCAAACAAAATTGAAATTAGAACTAATATAACAAAGCTAAACCAAGTATGCTCTCCTGTTCAAGCAAGGAAACATAAATTTGCATCTCTAGATTGTGCAGTAGTCTTAAGCCATATAAAGCTCTTGGTCTTCTGAGAAAAAGCATCTTTTTATACACCATAAAGAGAACTGAAGTCAAGCTTATCACAAATACCACAAAAAGACATTTGAAAAATGGTATGTGTTTGAATACTTGTAATTAATAGCTCCTTAAATTTTAAATAAGACAGAGGTTGTACAAAAAAAGTTTAAAGATTTTTTTTTCTAGAAATCTCTTTCTTAAAAAGCACTAATGGCATTAATATATTACTCTGCTTCGTGGAATTAGAAAATTGTTATCAAATTTTGAACATAAACGATTTTCTTAAAGAAAATACTTCTTTCCAGATAGGTAATTTTTTTTTCTCTGAACTTACAGGAGCTATTCTGATTTATGAATGTATTCTGCATGATGAGCACAGTTACATCTCAGGCAGTGCATGCAGTGTGAGTTGCTCTTAGCTCCCCTGCTGTCACTTCAAATATTAGAAATGTACAAATTACTTCCCATAAAAAGTTAGAGTCAAACATTTCAGGTTTTTAAAATTAGCTAAAGAAGTAGTAAGTACCCTTGGTAGAATGCTGGCTGTCAGCTGTCCCAGTCCTTCCTGGCCAGGTGAGATGGGGAGAGGTCTCTTTGCTGGACAATTTGTAACTCCAGGGCATCAGGTGCTCTCAGCACAGAGGTGTTCACGTGTGCTCAGGCCCTTTTGCTGTTCCTGCTCCTTTGTAGCTGGTGGCTGGGCTGTGAGCCAAAAAAGGGCAGGGCTTAATTTGTACATAATTTACGTTCCTTTTTGGGAAAAAAATAGAATATTTTCTCCACATCAGACCCTCATACTGTTACCTGGTAGAAGTATAAGACAGTAGGCGACACAAATATACTATTTGTACCACCAGCGTGTAGATAAACTGTACTAGAGAAGAAACAAAACTCCAGTTTGGCAGTGGTGCCCAGCACTTCCATCCTGACTCTTCTATCTTCATCCCCAACCCAATTTTGTATTTGCAGAGAGGCTTAAGTGCAGGCACAAGGGTTGTTCTCTGGCTTCCAAGATGAATGAAGGCAGTAAATTAACTCATAGACAACACAACAGGGAAAGGTGACTTACTGTTAAATAACACATTTTAAATTAATGATAATTAATTAAATGATTAACAATTATAGACGTTGATCCTAAGATTTTAAAGCCCTTTTAAAACAAATATCCTTTTACAAATGAAACAATGAGAAATCAAAGCCAACATTTTCAAAAGGGTGTGTCTAAAATTAAGTCTTAAAGCAGTAGTTAAGATGCTAAAGAAACACTCCCACATCTAAATATAAATGACTACAATTTTCAATGTTTGCATGTTAGAAATATCTCAAGTTCACAGGTGGCCTTGCAATTTAAATGTCATTTAATGTTCATGTGCTGACAAGAACTCAAACTGACACCTAGGCAAGTATATTTTAGCATAACATACATGTTCTTAAGTCCCTGTAGTTGGCAATAGAACCAGAACCTTTGAGCCTGTGGCACTAATCTGCACTTCTTGGATTGCTGGATGAGGGACAAACCCCAAAACCACCAAATTCCCTGTTTTGAGCTGTCCACAGCACTGAGAGCTTTTACCATTTAATGCAAGAAATTAAGTGCCCATTCTACCCCTGAACTACTCCAGAACTCCTCCACAAGTCAAAGCAGCTGGTCAGCTTATTCATGGATATCAATCTCTCATGTCTCGTTGAAATTCAACAAAGAATATTTTAACTTGGCTTTGGGTTCCACCAGAAGGGGACACCTCAGAGGAGCTTTCAGAACTGGTATTTTGTATTCTCTTAACTTCAGTGAAGAGGGGTGACCATGTTTTATTCAATGCATCCTGCTAAGTATTTTTGAAAGAAACAGAAGCTAAAGTTACAAGGAGAAAAGCTGCTGCATTAAGATTTGAGCTTGCTTTTTGAATCACAACTCTGGACTGCCTTTTTCTACTTTTTCTCCTATAACCAGTCCCAGTTCATGCAGGCACACAGAAAAAAAACATGCAGTACTTGTAGGAGATGACTGTATAAAACACAACAGGAAGGTGTCAGAGAGTTTGTCTTACACAAGTTCATTTCAAATTACATGCTGACAGATGCAGGTCTGAATTGAGTAAGAAGGACTTGGCCTAAAACAGACAGGACAGTGTCTGTCTCCAGCCTACAAAGTCTTGTCCCTGGGCTGGTTCTGTGGACAGTGCTGGGTCACAGAGAGATACCAGACAGATGTGTGAGACCAGGGCTTTGTCCCTTCCACTCAGCAGGTCCCATTAACGCCACAGCTCTGCATTTCCAGGCCACAGAACAGGAGCAATGCTCCAGCTCTGAGGCAACAGGAACCTGAAGGAGGGTTTTTAATTGTGTGGAAGACACTGTGCAGAAAGGAGCCTTTAACAGAGACGTACCAAAGTGTGCAAAGCTCGGCAGAGGTGTGAGCTGAGGTGACAGCTGGATGTTTGACATGAGTCACAGGCAGGATGGGGTGTTCTGCAGTGCCCAAGGGCAGGGGAATAGCAGAAAAGCTTCAGAGACTAAGCTCTCTCTTAAAGCTACTCAAGGATGGGATTTTGCTGAAATAACTGCAGCATAAAAATATCCTCTCTTCATTTGACTTATTAAAAATTCTATATCTAAGCCCTAAATCAGCAGAGTTGTTCAAGCTTGTCAGGCGTTTGAACACCTCCTTGTGCACTTGTTCACATCCAGATGCCCCATCACATGTACTGACACAATCTGTGAACTCAGAGTGGTGAGACTTGTTTGGACAGTGCACCACATCACTGATCCCCTCTGCAACCCCAGAGAAGTCTGGACAGATCTGTTGAGTACTTTTGACTAAATGTACTAATCTCTTTGTGACTACAAAAACAATCACCCTCATAACAAGGACTGAATCTAAACCAACAGAGAGTTGAGAGTAGGGAAGTGTCAATGGTGAGGGAGTCACAGAGAAGACTGAAAATGTTAAAAAGCATTTAAATCAGAAGGTCTTGCAATTAATGGAAAAAAGGGAAAAGAATGAAACTCTGCTCTAATTATGTCTTGCTGTGCTTAAAATTTTTGGTCAAAAAGATAAGTTATGGTATCTGAATTAAAGGAAACCTAATATTCATTTTCATATAACCCAATGCTAAACAGTGGTACCTATCAAATATTTCTAAGGCATGACATCATCCTTAAAAAAGGTTTCCCAATTAAAGCAATAACAGATGTAATTTAATACCCGAAGTATTATGATAATGCAACATTCTTCACATTCCTTGCTAAGTTAGAAGGGTAAGACACAGAGGCAAAGCAACTTACCCATGTCATGCTCTAAGTCCAGACCAGAAGGGAAAAGAAGATGCAGATCCTTATTCCAAGCTGCAAAGCTGAGAGATCAGGTTCTTCTTCTTAAATCCCTCCATTCTTCATTAACATACATAAACAGTCTCTATTCCTTCCTTTTTTCTGTTTCTTTGTGTATTTGAGTTACAATTCTGCATATTTCACTATTTCCTCATGGAAGGAATAAAGCACACATAAATAGAGCCTTGGAACGTGTCATATAAAATGCTTTTCCCATGACTTTGTTCTCATTTCCTTTGCATTTGTGGCTGCTTTGCATGTTACACAGATTGATTTACAGGTCAAATGAAATGATAACTGTGAGCCTGCATTGCCAAGTCAGGATGGAATTACAGGAAGAAACAAAACAACTTCTCACAGCAGCAGTGAACATCCCTTATCAGCTCTTAGGTCTTGTTAAAAAAAAGGCAACAGTTTACGCAATATTTGAAGGGAAAGAATACAAATGCATCATAAATAAAAATATTGCATTAAATTGTACTGAATAAAGGCAGGTTTCTATACAATTAGCAGGGATCACAGCTTGGCTTCTTACACACAGGAATCACAGAGAAAACAAGCCACAGGAATGAACTATATAGATGCAGGTTTTAAAAGGACTATAAGACCAATTCCAATAGGTTTCCTCTTAATTCAAAGGTTTTCTAATGGTTGCTACACTAGAGAGAAGTACAGATCAACATTACTATTACATGGTTTGCTTTCATCCCAAAAACCACTGGAGGAGTTCTGAGGGCATGGGAGGTGGCTTAGGATGGACGGAAGAGGAGGATGTTTTGCACTGTGCCCACCGGGTACCGTTTAAAATCTTGGCATAACTTCTACCAGGTGTCATTTGCAAAATTCCATTCACCTCTATTGTTGTTATTAACCCAGAAATCATAACAAAAGCTGCAGAACTTTCCAAGTAGGAAAGAAAAAAGGAGAAACCCTCTAGAAGAGATTAGGTTTGTTATTTGCTAGTTGTTTAGAAAGAGCCTTGGTACCACATTAAATGTGGCCATGATGACAGAGGCAGCCCATAGTACTGGAAGGATGTAAATTTGTGGCTTACAAGGTCAGCTTAAACTACCTATCGAATTCTGGGTAGAATTTAGGATTCTAACTGATGAAGTCTCACATGATATGAGTCAGAGATTACCACTGTCCTCATACAGTAGTTCCACCAATGCATTCCATATAGTTACCTAAACCCTGGATTATCATTATTGTAACAGAGACAGGGAAGGAATAAGGTGCTTTCTGATGGTGGCAGGTTTCTGGAATTGAGTTTTCCATTCTTCCTCTCTCTGTCTTATTTATTTATTTAAACTAATGCATAAGCAAACATCTCATATGCATCTGTTCGAGATGGTTTCTCAGAGGACTGAGGTTCAATGGAATGAAAAGTGTTCTATATACATCTGACTGAGATGCTTTCAAACAATTAATGAAAATTCCTGTGACTTAGTTGTATTAACACATTTGGGTGTCTAAAGTCTTGGAACTTTGTGGTTACAGATGTGTGCTCACAGTAGGCAACATGCTAATACAGCACAGAGCAATTCTTCCTGAACAGAATTCCAAAGGACACAACACTCACTGCCGTTACCTTCCTTTGGAGCAGAATCAGTTTCTGGGGTTGACTCAAATTCAGGCATATTTAGATGGAGGAATTTGTTACTATGCCAAGCTGTCCCACCCTTCTTCTGGAAGTTGTTGTCCCCTGAAGCACCACAAAGGAGTTCCTGAACTGCCAGTCCATACTAAGGTTTTATGACCACGTGCACCAGTTCAACGTAGCACAGGAGCTGGAAACTGTAAATTATGGCAGTAGATGAGCTGTTCCACATGGAAGTTACCCACTCCTGCTGTGAGAACAGCACTCCTCTCATGGGGTAGCACACATACTTTGAGGTGGCAACTGGTTTAGCCATTTGTCTTTAATTCACTGCACACAAATCAACATATTCAGTGAGTCACAGCAATGACATGACTTACAAACGAGCTGGCAGAAAAATATGCATCTTGGTCAATTATAAAACTCCTCTTTTATTATGTCTTGAATACAGTGAATTGCATTCCAGGAAGCATAAAGCAGGAAAGCAAGTGACATAAACCTGACAGACTGACACTGGAGTCACTCACAGAGTGCTCCATTACTCAGATCGTCCAAAATGAACCATCTCCTTAAAATGTGTTCCTGGCTCGGTAGCCCTCAGATTGATGGAAGCAGGTAGGATGGGAGTTTCCAGGTGGGTAATAAGGAGACAGGATCTGTATTTTAAGGAAGCAGCTGCTGTGAGTGGGTAGCAGGGCTGACCAGCCTCCAAGACAACAAGGCTTCGGCTGCACAGCCTGAACACAGGTACGAAAAGAAGTGAAGCTGGATGGGGTGTAATGGCTAAATATTGCAATACCTGACTTTTATAGCTTCTGGGGTTACACAGATTCTAACCAAAGAGAAGATTCCTCAGTTCCTAACACCTACTTTAAGTGTGAGAGCTCAAGAGAACCAGAGACGCGCTCTGCTCTGCCCACAGAAACAACCAGTCCAAGCCAAAACAAACAGCTGAGTGATGAGTACGAGTGTAGGCTGCCACAACTCAGGATTACACTGATCCATTGGCAATCAGCCCGTGGAGACACTGTGTAAATGGAGTTGTTTTGAATGAGTAAAATATCTGAGCACCAAGTATTACACAGGGGGAAAAAAGGCTATAAAATGAGAGGTCTGACAATTGCAATTTAACAGAACCCACTGAAATTGGACATGTACATGGCAATCTTCCTTCACAGAGAGCCCCTGAGATCATTTACCACACCTGCACAGGTATATTTCCTTTTAAGTTCTTTGAAAGGACCTTTATAAGAATATCAGAATCTATGGTACAGTACTGTGACATTTCTCAAATCCTCCAAGGAACGTATAAGAAACCCTTCTTGGCAATACAGAACATTTATCCTTCCTACCTGGATTTACTGTTTTAATGTTTCTTAGTACAAATCCACTTATTTTATCAGTGATTGTCACCTAATATTTCTATACCCCAAACAGAAATGTAACTAATCCTATTAATTTACAACTAAGATTTTCATATCAAAGCATCTCAGTAGTTCCACACATACATTACCAAAATCCCAGGAAGTACAGCATAGCACAAAGCACCAGTTTACCTGCAGTATTCCAGTGTAGGCTGGGACTAACCTGGAATGCAGGAGTCACCTGGTTCAGAGCATACAACACTAAGAAGAGACTTCTATGATACAGATAGTCTCTTTTCTGCCCCTCCATCTCTTTTGTCTCTATAAAGAATTAAAAACTGTCTCCCATATCAAAGTATATCCAGTCATCCCCATCAGCTGGCACTCAGGAGATGCAAATGGCTCTTAAATAAATGCAGATCAAGTATCTGAATTTTGCAGTCTGAATCCATTTTTATTATATTACATATATTAAACACTTAAGATGAATTTATAATCCTCTTAAAGGCAACAATAAACACCTACAAAATACTAGTGAGCTGTCATTACCGAGCTTAGCAGCAAAAAAAAGTGTATTTCATAAATCAGCTGGTACTGGCAAACATACTTTTTCCAGACAGGAAATACATAAGAACTTAACAGAATTGCTTAGAAGACTTGCAGTGTCTGGTTACACAAACATAACCAAGCTGTATCAGCAACAATATATTACTTGTTTGCATGTCTGATCATTTCTGAATCATTAACTCTAAATATTTCTGTACCGGCAACTTAAAAAGCAAAGGGTGGAAATAATTATTAGCAAACTTCTTTTGACAAAAACATGAATTCCAAGCTTTGTTTTCTGCATTAAAGTTATTGCTTGGACTTTCTATGGAAAACTGGCATAGAGAATTCTCTTCCTAATATCACAGCCATCCATCCCATCTGTTGGGCATAATGAGCACCAGGAAGGAAAACTCAAACCAATAAAAAGACAGTTTGGACATACCAACAACTAATTGAGGAAATTATTAATATGATGCAGTAGAATAGAAACAAAAGTTGTAACCCTGTATAACTACTAATTATATTAGAAATACATACACTTTTAAAATTTGTATCAGCTATATTGAAAACTATACTTATGCTGAAACTTTGGAGAGTTTAGGGCTTGATTTACTTTGAGTCCTGCAGTCTGCAAGTGGAGTCAATGTAGCACTTATCACCTGCAACTGCTCTTGCCAGCACTTGTGACAACAAAGAATTCATGTTCTCTCTTTCTGCTGGAAGTTGGAAGCTTTGAGCACACTCTGAAAAGAAGCAGGTTAGTGGTCTGACTCCAAACCTCTTCAGCATCTTTTCTTCATCTAAAATTTAATCCTACAAGTGAAACACATGAATAGTTTTAAAAACTCAAAATATATAAACTGCACAGGCTCACCATCACCCCTGACAAAATGGCAATGGAAAAACAACACAAATTAAATTGAAAGTTTCCTTACATGTTTAATGGTGCTCTGGGGCTATGTACTTTCTGAAGTACTTTAACAGGAATGTATTCCTATACACTTTACAAGCAATACAGTTATCCTTGGAAGGCTGAAAGACTGAGATGGTTGTGGAACACTAGGTTTCTCTCTGCATGCCTGTAACAACTTCCTTGCTACTACAGGATGGTTATACATTCATTTCCTCTCTAAGCATTTCTCTTGAGTGATCAGCCCTTAAATGCTGAATTCTGCACATACCTGGCCAGGCTCCAGGTTCCACTCTCCATGAACAAGCATTCTTAGCCAGTGGGGCTGACTGGATTTTTTTTTCTCCTCTTTGAATGACTGGGCAATGTTTTTAAAAGGAAATACAAACTACAGCCACAGAAACAAGGATTTAAAAACCAGTCTCACTATGTCTGCATGACCCATTTCCCTGATGAATATCTTGGCAGACCAACGTTCTGTAGTGCAAACTCTCTGCAGTTGTCTGGGTGTCCACAGTTCTCCCTCAAATAGCTCTGTGAGAAATGCTTCTGTCTTGTTTAACACTGAGAAAGTACTTCCACCCAGTCAATTCTCTTTTCCTGGGATACTCTGCCTGTTTAAAAGCAGCAGGTTGGAGGTTGGCTCTGGGAGAGGTTTAGTTTGCCCAGCTGCCTCTCCCACCACTCTGTAACAACAGTGCCATGTTTGCTGAGGCTCTTTACTATCAGTGGGGTCTTTTTTCAGTCAGCCTTGTTCATTTAACAGATAAATCATGCAGCACATGCAGCAATTGTTATTACAGCCATTATATCTAGTTCTAACCCTCTAATGCTCACTCTTAGAATGAGCTGGACCACTGATAACTACAAACATCTGCCTTGCTCCTTTCACCCCAAACACTGTCCCCTTTGAACTGTTCTGTGGTTATATTGGGTTCTTCTGGGGACCAGCTCAGCTAAGAACTAAAATCATTACAAATGATTTCAACTTTGGAAAAACTCCCCGCTGAAAATGAATACATTTAACATTAGGCTTATGAAATATTAGCCTTCTACTGAAATACATGAACTCTGTATAAACTATGATCTATTTACCTGAGCACTTTGAAAACTGGAATGGTCCTTTTGCTTTATATTCCATTTTTCAAGTAATAATCTGTTTGAAAGAAAAACAAATCCCAAAGAATTCCAGCAGCTTTTCACAGAGGCACACAGTACCTTCGTGCCTTTGTTCAGCTGTGTCCTTGGATGACAGAAAATCTTTTATTTGAAGAGGTATAATGCATTTTAAAGCTCTTTGCAAATACTTTTGCCCACTATTATCATTGAAATGGTGCTTTCTGGTTCTGGATTGGCAGTTAGGAAGGTTAACAATGAAGAAACATAAAGATCAATACAATTTAATTGTCTTTCACTCCAATCCTATTTTTCATATAGCAGACACTGGGAGTCAGATACTCGTCTTCCTTCCATGAAATAAAAAATAAAAAGACTCTTGATAAATACTCACCTCCAAGATTTTGCCTGCTTTAAGAAACTTCTAGCTTTTGCTACTTCTTGAATAAGTTTCTTTAAATCATCTCCTTCAAAGTAAGGGAAAGCTGGATCCTGAAAACATAGTTAAAATATTCTACTTTAACTTGCAACAATTTTCTGTTTCTACCAACTTAGTTAACTGAGCCTAAGTTCTAAATTTCCCTACTCCTACCTACTTGCAGAGAAGGTCTTGGTCTTACAAGGGGAGAGCAGAGCAATTCTAGATTGAACCTGGTTCTGTTCACTAACATTTTTCTACTGTGGGAATCCCTCAGGTCTCATGCTGGAGAATTAATGTGCTAAACACTCTATAAGGATTTTACAATTACTTAAATGAAATACAAAGATGGCAAGCATAAGAAAGCACAGTAAAAGCTAAAGTTAGCTTAAAATCCACAGTGGCCAGGACCCAAGATATATTTTTTACTTCTCTTTCAAAACCTACATTGCATTGTATACTCCTTTCCTAGGTTTGGGCACCAGACCAAGGCAGTTAGAAGAAAGGCAAAGACAAATACTAAGATTTCTCCTTTTGGTTTCAATGTGAAGTATCTTAGGAGTCTTGTGTTATTTTTTCCTCTCTTTTTTTTTTTTTATTTTTTGTTTAAATGCAGTTTGACTTCTGGTGAAGAACTAAGCTGAAATGAAACAACCCAAACCAATCCATTTAGCATACATCTTCATCTTCAAGCCCCTCTGCCAACATTCTGTGTGCTGCTAATTGTCCATCTTCATCTCCAAAACAGCAATGGTAGCGCCCTCCTGTCTGGGAAGCAAGTTTCTTCAGAAATTCATTAGCTCCTCTGTTAAAAACAAAGTAGAAAGTTGCTTATGAAAATTGATTTCTCTGAAAGCAACAGCAGTAGAAAAACAATTTCTAAGAACTCCTCAAAAAATATTACATCTAAGAACAGTTTGGAGGACATGATTATAAACTTCTGTATGGAACGTAAGTCATGTGGCAAATACCTGTGTCAGAGCAACCTTCCCTGTTCCCATCTTGGTAACAGAGATTTCTGACAATAAATAAACTAGTAATTTTGAAAGTTTTTTTGTTGTTCTTGCAAAGCATCATATACCTGTCTGCACAGCTAAAAGAAATGGTGTGGATTTTAATATCTTGTTCCTTTCTCAATCGTTCAGTTTCCTCCAAAATCAGACTGCAACTGGTGTCTGGTTTTCCATCAGTCAATAGATACAGTGCCTCTACACCTTGGAAACTGAGAGCCTTCTGAAAAACAAAAAATGAGCTTAAATAATTAGTACATTTATATGAAAAGTTATATTTAAGAAGAAAAACACCATTCCAATGATTTAAGATAGTTTTATATTTACCACATCATTAATCAACTTATTTTTGTCTTTTCCTTTTCACTAATTATGAAAGAGACCAAGGATATACATTTGAAAAATAAAGTAGATAATTTGTAGCATAAGACAACATATTTATAAGCAGGAAGTCATCAAAAATTGACTCACTGAAATAGGAAAAATTTATTGGTTTTGGAGAACTGCTGACAAAAGATTTTTTACATCACATTTTATAGGAGTTAAAGATGTTTAATGTCTGAAAATCAGGCTCACTAGGATTTGACCTTTTCATATTATGAAAAACTGCTACAGTCATTGACTCAGTGGACATTTTTGTATTACAGACACACCTCAGAGTTCTACTGGACTTGATTCATGATGAATTCCATAACATTTATATGGAGATTGTGCAAGGGTGTCTGGAAGAAGAACCATTCATTTAAGGCAACACTTCTTTTTTGATTCAAATTTTAAATCTCATGGAATTGTGAATTTCTTCAGCTTCTGCTTCAAACTATTATTACTATTTAATTTCTACACTGAAAATTTTTATAGGAGAAAAGTTTCTTCACCTGCTACTGAAGTTCAAGAATTGCACTCAAAGCCCACGAGATTCCAACAAACTGCTTCTTTAAAAACCCTGTTTGGCTCAGAGCAACATATCACAGCCACAGTTGTACATAAACATAATTTTGAGCAACTGGCTATATTCTCTCTCCAGTATTCTTTGAACACAAATATTGATGCAACTATTGACAGTTGACAGTTTTTTTAAAACTCAGTGTGAGAAATTACTTCTGGTATCTACGAGCCCTGGGGCCAGAAACAGCAGTTTGGTTTCAATGCTTTGCATATAAAAATGTTGTATGCTTTGACCTAATAATTTCCCTAAAATGTTACCAGTCAGGGGGAAGTGTTTTATCACCACAAGACACAATGTGTTCTCCAATACATGGCAGCCAGTTTACTAACCTGTAAAGCTGTGA